GGGAAGGGAAAGGAGTTTGTAAGCCGCTCTGAGACACCTTTGGGTAGTGAAGGGAGAACTGGATTTGATTCCCCACTCCTCCACTTGCACCTGGCTGGATGAACTTGGGCAAACCATAGTTCTGATAAGAGCTGTCCTTGAAAAAGATCAGTTTCTGTCAAGAGCTCTCTCAGCCCCACCTACCTCACAAGGTGTCTGTTGTGGGGAGGCGAAGGAGTTTGTAAGCTGGTCTGAGACACCTTTGGGTAGTGAAGGGCGGGGTATAAATCCAATCTCTTCTTCTTCTAGCATGAAAATTTTTACAAGACGATCTCTGTTGTCAGATCATGATAATTCATATATATACTGCAGACATAAACAACATTTTCGAGAGTTTTGTTTGTGTAGATGTAAAATTTTTGGCAACTCTTAATATGCTATAGGAGCTTCAGTGGCTCAAGTGGTTAAGACGCTGAACTGCAGGCTGTGGAAGGTCGGTAGTTCAGCAGTTCGAGACCCGAGTGTGCCGCATGACGGAGTGAGCTCCCGTCTCTAGTTCCAGCTCCTGCTAACCTAGCAGTTCGAAAGCAAGAAATTGCAAGTAGATAAATAGGGACCACTTCGGTGGGAAGGTCACAGCGTTCCGTGCGCCTCGGTGTTTAGTCATGCCGGCCACATGACCACGGAAGCGTCTTCGGACAGCGCTGGCTCTTCGGCTTTGAAACGGAGATGAGCACCGCAACCCTAGAGTCGGATTCGACTGGCTTTCGAGCAAGGGAACCCTTACCTTTACCTTTAATATGCTATGGCGTTAATGATAGAGCATTATTAAAGAGTTCCCTGTTTTCCGTGTGACAGAGTTTGGCATAATATCCAGGCATGGTGGTAGTCCTGCCTCCCGTGACAGTATGAGATAACTTCTGACCCAAGACTCTATTTTATCAACGTTTAAACATGTTCTGCCTTCTGGAAATTTCACATCTCTAGTCCTTACCACCACCGTAACAGCCACCGAAAGTGGGTGGTGAAAAAGACCATTCGTCAACACTGTCTGTTTTGGGGTTTGATGGAGAATGAGGAGCCTCTGTACCGGTGTTGACGATAAGAAACGGGGTGGGGTTTTTTTTTGCTGATTTGAGTGCCTCAAAACCTGGTGCCCGCCCTGAATGAAAGCACTGCTTTAACTGTTCCAGGTTGCTGTAGGCCATTCAATGGATGCCTTTGAACAGAGACCTGTACCCAGCTTTCCCATGTTGAAATCTAGCATTCTAGCCTCCATGTCACTGACTCTGCTTACCTGCCTGATGCCTGTGACCTGCCCCAAATTCCTTTGCTTGCCTGCCCCCCCCACCGCTTTCTCTGTCTAGGTTTCCTGAATCCAGAACCTCCCCCCCCTTCCCAGTAAGCCTCCCGACAGTTGTCAGTTTTGATTGAAACATGCTTGAGTACAGCTGCTGATGGGGGTCATCCAGGGGGCTCTAACTGTAAATGTTGTTTGATTCAGGGTCAGACTCATCTGAAGATCTCTTCCGGAAGACAAGCACGGTCAGGTGGTGAGTAAAGACATCCATCCCTGTTGCCAGCAACGTCTTGGCTAGGAACATTTCTCCTCTCCCCTGTTGGGGCCCCAGAGGAAAACCAGGTGCTCTGGAAAAGATCCTGTAGAGCTTAGCATTGCCAGTGTGGCCCTATGGATCAGTGAACCGCAGCTGTGCAGTGTAGGTGGGGGGGAACCTCATGCCTAGTGAGAAACGGAGCTTCCCCTTGTTGTTGTTCAGTCGCACAGTCGAGTTCAGCTCTTTGCGACCCCATGGACCAGATCACGCCATGCCTTCCGGTCTTCCGCCGTCCTCTGAAGTTGGCTCAACTTCATGTTCGTTGCATCTATGACACTGTCTAACCATCTCATCCTTTGCCGTCCCCGTCTTCTTTGACCTTCAATCTTTCCCAGCATCAGGGTCTTCTCCAGTGAGTGCTCCCTTCTCATTTGGTGGCCAAAGTATTTGAGCTTCAGTTTCATTATCTGGCCTTCCAGGGAACAGTCAGGGTTGATTTCTTTGAGGATTGACTGATTTGATCTCCTTGCAGTCCAAGGGACTATCTTCTCCAGCAGCACCATAATTCAAAAGAATCTATTATTCGGCGTCAGTCTTCCTTATGGTCCAACTCTTGCAGCCATACATTACTACTGGGAATACCATTGCTTTGACCATGCAGACTTTTGTTGGCAGGGTGATGTCTCTACTTTTTATCATGCTGTTTAGGTTCGCCATCGCTTTCCTCCCA